CTTTTATATTATTCGTATAAAAGACAAATTATGAGTCATATATACTAAAATACATTTTTTAGAACCAAAATCAGTAATAAAACCGAAACCGACGTCCTTGTATCACTGTTCCCGCAAATTCAGCCATTTAAAAATTTCCACCGCATTTCACGAAGTGACATTAATCCAGAGAAATTCGAGCGTTCAATCAAAAATCGACGATCTGGTATTGTTGGTCGTACGTACCTTGGTCGTGTGTTAATTGCACGATCGGTAGCAGCAAATGTATGTGTGTGTGTATGTGTGTGCGTGAAACCGATGACCAACAGTTGATTGCACGATCAAAAATTAAAGGTTTTGTACGTGTTTCACGCGATCGTCGCCGATTTCCGTTCCAAGCTGCTTTATTTCTCTTTGCACGGTGCGGCGAAGCAACGCGAATATACATCATATCTATATGTATTCTCGAAATCGACAGACATTTCGCGAATAGTCGGTTGGCCGTGCTGTAAAACGCTTTTGAACGCGCGCCACGTGTCCAGCCGGTTGGCACACTATGAAAGCATAATGCGACTCGAAATGAAACCCAGGGATCGTTCGTTGCAAGCGGAAAAAGGCTACCTTTTTTTATTTATATGCCGTAACAAGTAGGGAGGAAAATCCGAAATACGTTTCCTCGTTTAGTCATATTTATTATTTGTATTTTTAATTTCTATCATCGAATATATGGTATAATATTCTTTTTTCTTTTGTATAACGTGTTTTTAAAGTAAAGAGCAAGTGCAGTAGATTATCTTGAGCGATTCATGTTCAGGATGATCGGATGATTTAGGTTTACATTCCGTATTATAAAAATTATATATACGTACTCTTCTGTAAATTTTTCTAAATTGCTAAATTACATATTTTTTAGAAATAATTCAATAATTGACTCACTCGGAATAAATATTTTCCGTTCGAGTTTCATAACGTAACTGTAAACATTTCCGAATATTATTTATATTTCTTGCGTCTCGTGGTTCGTTTCTAAAATGTACTAACTGCAGTCGAAATTGTTAATTTTAAGGCCACCTTTTTTTATTTAACAAGTAGGGAGGAAAATCCGAAATACGTTTCCTCGTTTAGTCATATTTATTTGTATTTTTAATTTCTAACATCGAATATATGGTATGATATTCTTTTTTCTTTTGTATGACGTGTTTTTAAAATAAAGAGCAAGTGCAGTAGATTATCTTGAGCGATTCATGTTCAGGATGATCGGATGATTTAGGTTTACATTCCGTATTATAAAAATTATATATACGTATTCTTCTGTAAATTTTTCTAAATTGCTAAATTACATATTTTTTAGAAATAATTGACTCACTCGGAGTAAATATTTTCCTTTCGAGTTTCATAACGTAACTGTAAACATTTCCGAATATTATTTATATTTCTTGCGTCTCGTGGCTCGTTTCTGAAATATACTAACTTCAGTCGAAATTGTTAATTTTCGTTCGTTCAATTTTCAATGATTTTAGACAGAGAAAAGGAGACGTCGCCCAGTAACGATGTGAAAAATCTCGACGCTTAATTCTTTTTCATTTTCTTCGAACACAAGTCGTAACACCGTACACCGCATAAAATGGTAATTGCGATGACGGAACTGTGCAACAGCATCGCCGTTTTTCGCGCGAATTCGCGCGGCTCGCGGAGGGAGAGAAAAAAAAAGAGAGAGAGAGCGCTAACGATTCTGTTTAATGGACCGACTTGTGTAACGTATGACGGCAGTGTGGTTAATGTTTTTATTTTCGCGCCCGTGCCGCGGATATTCAACGTGAATTTTCAATTATGGAATAGATGGGCGCGAACGGAGAATAGGAAAGTGGCGGGGCGTTCATTCTTTACCGCGTTGTAACGGAAAGGAAAAAAGAGAAAAGGAAAACGGAAGGAAGGGAAAAACAAGGGAGGATAAAAACGTGAATGCAATAAGTCGAGCACGTTCAGGCTGGACAATATATTCGATGCACCTTAGCGGCTGAAAATTTTTCCACCGACTCGAAAAAACAGGCACGATTTTATTACGTTCGTCTTTTCTTTTCTTTTTTTTTTTTTTTTTTTATACTGGCTAGACCTGTGTGAAATATATAGATTTTGTAATATTAATAGTGATCTTTTGGCCTGGGATATTTTAATACATTGGAAATATAGGAGATGAATTTTATTATACAATTTGTTGCTGTATGATATAGTCAAAGGGTATGTACATAGGAATTAATTTATGGTGAAATATAGAGTTGATATTTGAGTTAATATTTAATTAAGTAATACAAATACTAATACTAAATAATACTAAAATGTTAAATAATAACAATTTAGTAATATAATAATATTATAATAATACTACAATAATATAGTAATGACAATCGTGTGTTAATAATAAAATATAACAAAAAATGATTCTAATAATTTTATAGGCATAGTACCATACATACACAAAAGTCGTATACATAACATGTGTATATTGAAATATAATTGTAATGTTCAAGTTGTTTGAAACGAATCTGAAAATATACATCTACGTATATTTATGTCAAAATGTCCATTACAAATATTTCCATATATATGTCCATTACAAAATATTAATATACAGTATGAATAATCATTTTAATCCAAGCACATATAATATAATCTTATTAATCAGCTGTTTAAATATATTTCTTCTACGATACATCTTACAATTTTCAAATCTCTTCCAAACTCGGATACAATCACGATCAATTGGCTCTCGCTAAATCAACGAAATTTAAAAAGCACCTCGTACCATTTAAATTAACACGTTTAGAAAAAAAAAAAACGCGTTTGTAAGAAATCCTTCAGAGCGTTCGAACACTTTCACGAGCAACTCTGTATTCCATTCCAAAGGTTTCAACGCCCAGTACTCTTCGAAACATTCCTCACGTGACAGAAACAGAAGGTCGGCGAAAGGAAAAGAAGAACGTACAAATCCAGACACGAGCGGTAGAACGTTTTCAAACTCGTTGCCCAACGCTCATAAAGCGAGGATGACCGCGAAAGCCGAGCGAAAGCTTGCGAGACGAGCGAACGTCGGCGTGGCGCCCGCGCCAGTTTGAAAAATAAAGGCAAACGATCACGCGGGCATTATGCGAGCGTTCCGCTCGGCGTGATAATTTTTCAAAGGATCTCTCGCGAGCCGCTGTCCCTTTTCGGGCTCGTCTTCGTTTTGCGGTGGAGGAGGCGGCAGCAAAGAAAGAAAGAAAGAAAAAAAGAAAGAAAAAGAGGAAAAACTGTGGCGCCGACAGGTGAAAGGCTCGCGCGTCTCTCACACCTGTCCAAACGGCCGTGAACGCCACCTCTCGCTCTTCTTCTTCTTCTCCTCTTCCTCCTCCTCTCTCTCCCTTTTGTTTACCTCCTTCACGGCCTTTATGCTCCCCTCCCCCCACTTTCTTTCAGCTGCCTGTGTTTCTTTTTTCTACTTTCCAACGGTCCGAACCTCTTTCTCCCTTTGTCTTGCTGTTCTGGACCGCGAGTGGATTTTTCGCGGCCCGATGAAGCATGATCGGTGATAACCTGGCGACTGAGAAGAGAAGGAACGAGATCGATCGCGGAATTTTTGTACAATGTGGGAAGTTTGGTTTCTTGATTTCGATTGTTTCTTGATTAGTGGTGAGAGATGTATGTACGTACATATACAGTGCCAAGTTTAATAAAGTAGACTTTTGCAAGTCTAACCTTTCAATACCTTCGTCAGAAAACAGGGTAAACGAAAGCTACGCCAGCGGAGGAGTGGCCATTGTAATTTCGGACAAATATGATTCTACTGAAATCCCATTAAATTCGAACTTAGAAGAATGCCACACCACAGAAACCCAAAAACAGAAATACGGAATCATAAACCTGACTTCTCAAAATGACATACAAAAAGTATTAAAATATCTCAAAAACATAAACTAATGGCATCGTCGTTGCTAATGACCTCGCTGTCGATGCGACATTAAAGAAAAATAAAAGAAGAAGAAGAAGAAGAAGAAGTCTAACCTTCTAGTTTGGTTCTTTTGTGCATTTTATTTTGGTGACGATATATGTACGTACATATACAGTGCCAAGTTTAATAAAGTAGACTTTTACAAGTCTAACTTTCTAGTTTGATTCTTTTGTGTATTTTATTTTGGTGTCTAACAAGAAGAATATGTATAGACTTATTTGCTATTCTATGAGACAGTTTCTCCGAAGCAAGTACCATCTTCAAGAAAAATTATTACGCTGAAACTGTCACAATCGAGCGATAAGCGATCAATAAAATTCTGAATGTCTCCCTTTTGTTTGACCAAAAATTACCACGAAGATTTTCGATCGTCGTTTTATTAAATAAAAACAGTAATAATTGAATTGAACGTGATTAAGAAACTTGGAAACTATAACGATAGAACGGACCGAACTTTCTTATAATTTAGAAACTTGGGTCTCTTATAATTTAGATGCTTAGGAACTAAAACAACAGAACACACCAAAGTTTATTTCATGTATTCAGTCTGCACGAAGTTTTCTACAAAATCCACGAAGCTTTCCAATTTTATCGATATGAGTTTCAATTCATTGCGATATATATTATAAAAATGGAACCAACCTGGCGATATTCCATCAATTCAATCTGTCAAACATAAAGTCACTTTTTACCACGATGAGTTTTTAAATTCCCCCCCAAATCTATTCAATATCATTCGAATTAATAACATTACTAATCTCACCAATCACTTTGTTACAATTACAGAATATAAATAAAACTCTGTCATTCAATCAATCTGCATCGTTAAGCATCGAAATCGCTTTTAGTAGATTTTAAATTTTTCAAAATCCATTTCCTAAATACAATTCCCGATGTCATATTTCATCATCGTTCAACAATCCCGTTATCGTCAACATGTCAGCGTCAACTAAATCTAATACCATCAATATAGATTCATCTACAATCGATGAGATTAGAAACAATTTTCAAACAAGAAGCTTCCTTCTGCTTGCAGGTCCGCTGCACGCGCGAGACGATCGAGATGAAACGATTATCCTGGATGGTTCTTCAGCTTCTGCTCCTTGGCTCGATGCTCCATTCGAGCCTGTCAGCCTCGACGAGATCACGGGGCAAGAAGAAGGTCGCCAAAGAGACGAAAGAGGTGAACATCTGCGCGATCGAGGGCATACAAGCGCCGATGTATTGTTACTGCGACAACATCACCATAAGAAACGCCACGAACGCCACCTGTCTGGTGCTCAGCCCGTTCACCAACAACGATCCAACGTGGAATTACTTCACGTCGCAGATCTATCTGCAGAGGTTGAAGTTCATCGTTCGAACTCCAAACGGGCTGGAGTACGTGCCGGTTCAGCTGTTGAGGCAGTTGAAGAACCTGCAGAAGATCACGTTGCAAGACACGAGTATCGAGGAGCTGAAGGAAGGCGCGTTCTCCAATTTGCCAACGATCGCGGAGATCGATCTCAACACGAATCTCATCTCGTCGCTGAAGACGCGCGCGTTCGAGAACATGAGGAATCTGTCGGCCATCTTCTTGGACGCGAACCGGATCACCGAGATTAACAGGTATCGCAATTTCTTTGATCTTTCATTTGTTTTTTTTTCTTTGGTTTGTTAAATTTTTGCAACTTAGATTTGAAGTGTCTAAGGGCTCTTTGAGATTAGTTTAGGATTTTTCACGCTTGCTAGATCTTTTTTATATTGATCTTGAGGTTTCTTCGATCGAATACGAGACATCATGAAGGATTTGTTTCAATTTTTATCGGTATATCTTTGGTATGTTTAAAACTGAAGTTTGGAATTTCAGCGTGTCAAATTTTTTTAAATCGATTCTTGAATTGTTTTTTTATTGTTTTTTTATCGAATTTGCTCAGAGATGTTCGAAGTAGGAGTTTTATAGGATAGTACTGGAGTAATGAAGATCGTTGAGGAATAATCTTGATAGTTTGATACTGAAAGTGTGTTAAATTTCTTGGAAAATTGTAAATTGTTATTAATAGTTTAATAGATTTATATAATTTAAATAGAGCTAGATTTCATATCACGGAGAATATTCGTAAAATAATTTTAATAATGAAATATTGTAATAATTAACCACGTCTCAAACCTTATATTAATTTTATATTAATGTTTGCAATAATAATAAACATTAATTATAGTCGAGAAATAATTTGATAAAAAGAGTATATTGTTTGTTTTCTACTTTCAATCATTTTATACAGTTTTGTTAATTATATAGACAATATTATATGTTGCTTTATTTTCTATTCATAATGTCTATTTTTTTTTCTTGTCTGGGACAAGTATAAAAGTAAAGGCACTTGCTCCAGGTTGTCCTTATTGTTCAACTTGATACATTAATCTAGATTTCTATTCTAATATACACTGTATTCGAAATCTGACTCTATCTCAATAATTTAGACTTTAGACCTTCAAATTTCATACGACACATTTCTTCCTTGTATCTTTCATTTCAGTCACGAAAGAACAAATTATATTTTTACCAAGATCAAAACAATCGTTTCACGAAAATTGTATTCCATTACTACAACTATTTTCATTTACAATTATTTATTACAAAAAACAGTCTGTGATAATTTAAATAACATAATAATTAACAAAATAATTCTTTCTAAATACTAATGGAAACATTAAACTCGTATAAATTAATATACGAAAGAGATATTATTTCGTTATTAATTTAATAATTTAAACATTTTCGTTATTAATTTAATAATCATGTTGCTTTATATATGACTCGTAATTAATCTAATAATTATTGTTAGATATTATTTCGTTATTAATTTAATAATGTAATAATTTTCGTTATTAATTTAATAATTTATGTTGCTGTATTACTATTTATTGCTACTATAGTTTACAAATAATGGTATAAAATTTCATAAAATTTTTTCAAACGAAAGAAATCATGCACTTTCCATATTTGGTGGGTGCTCGAGGGCTGTGTCATCCGTTTAGTCGTCGTAGAATTCCGCAAGGATCGCTAGTTGGAATTTACCACGTGTTCCATAAACGCTGTTTGATGGTGTTCGAATGATAACCACGCTCCCCCTGCCTCTTTCCACGCCCTTCATAATTCCGGCTGATTCGTTCAATTACGACCAATTACCAAGTCTGAGCCCGGGAGTAAAGTGAAAACGTCTTCGCCCGAAGAGGGCGTTTTACGAGCATAAATTGCCGTGGAATTCCGCGATGCGTTCGAGAATTCGCGTTTCGGTGAATCGGCGGGCTCTTTCGGCAAATCGAATCGGCCTCACGCACGCCAGAATGTCTTGAAGTCCGGATTAGATTCGCCTCGTTCATTGTCCATTAAGCGACTAGTTGCCAAATATATGTAGAACGCGGCGCGATTGATCAGGCTAAAGAATAATTCGGTTAATTATTAATTAATAGATGTGTCATGTCAGATTTAATGAAATTTATTCTCTTCGTCGATATTCCCTTTACTTCGTTTTCAATTATTAATAATTTAATACGAACTTATTAGTTTAAAGAAAAAGCCATTGTTCCTTTGAGTTAACATTGCTCGAAACTATGGATCGTGATTTTTATTAAACAGTTGATCGTCTTCATTGTCTGTTATGAATCTGGTGCTACGTTTATTGTTTTGACAATTTATTCGTCATAAATATAATATATACGTACGTATAATTCCTTTTCAAAATGATCTTCAAAAGTTCGTACAATATTCAATTATCAATCTTCACAAACAGATCCGAAAAATTATCAAAAGATTTCTTTATTTTGAAGTCTCGAAAAAAATGCTGCTGTATGAGACACACATTATAACAAAATATGTTCTCAATGGCAGTTAAATTTTTTAACGACAATCAATAGCATATTCTATAATTTATACTTTATAATTTGCAAAAATCTTTAAATGAACGATTCAGCGACACGATATGAGTTTCCTGTTTCCTGTTTCCATGGTGATTGATGGATTAAAATTAATAACCAGGCGAAGTATTTAATTTTGATAAACGGATAGAAAGTTGTGGTAATTTGTTAGATCAAAATTATTATCGTGTTCCTCCCTTGGGGAAGCATAAGGGGCTAAAGAATGATGGAAGTGATGAAGAATTATGAAGGGTTCATAAATTTCAGGGTATTTAAGGGTGCAAGATTATCCCAGTGCTTATTAACGAATTTCCAATAAATTATAAAATACTTTTAATCATCGCTGTTGTAGGATAATTATAGAATTAAACGACTCTGAATGTCCGGAAGTTTATGCAACTCTTTATGTAAATGTGATCGGGAAACGAAATGATTAATTCAGCAACAGTGTATTAACATTGAAAAAGAGTGATTCGTTAAATATGTATATTTTTATAATACGTCGGGATGTTCATTGAAAGGGATCAACTGTAATACGCTTTAAACGGAGGTTTTATTTATAAAAAATTAAATTAATTTTCGCCTGATGCATTTTATAACGTGGAATACGTATTTCAACGTTACAGTCATTATGAGTGCTCGTGGAACATGCAAAATTACGAAATTACCTGGGGATATAATTTTTAATAAATTTAAGAGTAAACAAATTAAAGATAAACGAATTGTGGTTGTAGACATGATTTAAAACAACATAAATTAATAAATAAAATCTCTGTAACTGGTCCATGAACAAAGTTTAAGGTAGAAATTAAATTAGGAGTAACGTCTGACTAATTCTTGATCTCTTTCACTTGCGCGCTTCATTCTTCTTCGTTACAGTAACTTCTCCATCTTGTAATTTAAAAATTGCATTTGAGATACTTGTCTGATCATGTGTAACACATTTTCCATTTAATATGAAATATATAATTCAACGTTGTAATTATTAAGAGTGTCCATGAAACATATTGAATTAAGAAATACGAGGTTTAGCAGATAGAATATATTTTTTAACAAATAATTTGGAAATAAACAGATTACGTCACATGTGATTTTATATCATAGAAATTGGCAATATTAAATAGGAATTTTACGAAGTCTCGAAAAACCTAACGAACAATTTATAGTAAGCCCTTAATTAGAAATAGTGTCTGACTAATGCTCGATCTGTATCACTCACTTCTTTCATTTCTCTCCTCTTCACGTTAATTTTCCACTCTGAAGAAATAAATATTGAAACATTCAAAAATACTCGTAGCTTTCGAAATTATAACAAATGAAAGATATCGTCTGACCCTTGATCTATATCACTTGCCCTTATTTCACACTACTCTTACGTAAAAGTTGAAATAAGTTCAAGATACTTATAGCATTCAATCAATGTTTTAAACTGTGTCTAATCAAGAATACTGTCTGACTAAATATCTTCATCCATGTCACTTACATCACGTCTCATTCCTCTTCTCTACATTCTTGAATCCGTGCAAATTAAAAACCGACGTCGGTGATGTTTCACAGCAGCATTCAATTCGACGTTTGAAATTACACGTAAGGAAACAGCTTGGACAAGTTAATAGCCGGTGGCTAAGTTGCACAATGTGTACCGCGCGAATTGATCAATTACATTTCCGCGACAAAGCGAACGGAGTTTACAAAGTGCGACTGGCAATTAAGTGTTAATCGATAAAACACGGTTAATCGGTTAACGCGGCTCCGCTCGTGTGCACCGGCCGCATTAACGTGACCAGAGCAAACTTATCGCCGCCGTTAATAAACAATTAAATCAAACAATCCAAGTTTAGCTCGCCGGTGAAATTAATGGAACGCAAACATGACCGATGTAAAAGCGGAGCAGCGAAATAAAATCTGTTTACACGGATCGTATTGACACGCCAGAAACAGATATTCTCCTGGGAAGAAAATATACTTCGTTCCCGAATTTACTTCTGTCGTATATAAATATGGAACTGAAAAATTTCCCTCCGCTTCATTTATACTTTTTTTTTTTTTTCTTTCGTAGATGTTTATACTTTATTTTATTGTAGACAATAAAATCTACTTTACTAATTTATACATTATTTTATTGTGGACAATAAAACATACTTTGCTAATTTATACTTTGTTTTATTGTTGGCAATAAAATGTAGTTCTTCGATTTTTACAATGATGAATGTTGAATCAGCTTAAATAATCTTAATAATTCCTGCAAAATTAAATTTCTGGAAATGTGATCTAAAATTGGGTTGCTGTTGGTTAATATTAAATTTACAGGTTTCTGTGTATTGACAAGAAATTTGAGAAATTTCCAGAAATACGCAGAAACGTATAAAATGTCGAAAGTATAGTGTCGATTTTAATATTTAGTGACAAAAGTAAATTTCTGCTTAAACGAAGAATAAGAAAAGAATAATCATAAAAATTAATACAAATTAAACTCTCACAGAATACTTTCTATAAAATAATAAACACAATCATTTCGAACTTCAATATTATTAAAAATGAAATAAAAATATTTACCACCTTTTATCCATTTTGTTATTTCTTTAATTTAATGTAACTTCAGCAAAATCAAACGACGATCTTTGTTAACAAATTTACTCTAAGAGATAGAACAGATTGGTCAGACTCTCTAGACGATTATATAGAATGGAAGAAAACATGAAGTATCT